ATAAAAAAATATTAGTTTCTAATAATGAATATTTCTTTCTCATTTGCATAACCATAAATATGTTTGTACAAGATTCAATGATAACTTAAACAAAGCAGAGCAAACATGTTATTCATATAATAAAATTCAAAAGAATCATAAATCATGGATATGCAGTATTATAATAGTAACAGTAAATACATTTGGTCGAGAAAAAAATATAATATTATTATAACAAAAGAATATGAGTACTCATTTCGATGTCGATTAATTTATTATTTGATTTGCCTTAACATAAACTCTTCTAAAATTGGAAGCCGAAAATAAACATACTATAACATTTATTTATTTATTTAAATAAACTATTAAAACTTTTAAGTATTAGTTTTCATTACTTTATCTTTTGTAATCTTAAATATATGTATATATATTATTTAAAATATAAGTATAAAAATCTTATTAAATATTGTAATTAAAAATCTAAAACTCACCTTATAATCTTCAAGTCGAGCCTTTTTTAATGAGTGTGTTGTGAATAATATGAACCACATAGATTAATTGTATGTGTATACTTGATTATGATGGAGTCACCTCTTTATGGTATTAGTGGGAGAACGCTAAAGAACTTGTGCACGTAAATGAAAAAGTGTATTGATATTAAAATGCCTTAAATGATACAATTTAGATGATGCTCCTGTGACGGTTGTACAAATATAAATGATATAGACATGTTTTTGATATAGTATAACATCTTAAATATTGAAATATTTTGAGTGATCATATTCGTAAGCTAATAAATATATTATTAATGATTTTTTAAGGGCTTAAATGACATGCACATTATTTTCTCTTTGATTGTGCTACTGTAATATAAGAGTATGAGTATTCACTGACTATGATTAGCTCACTGTTATTGTAAACTAACTTATCAGGTGTAATTAAGTGAATTAAAATACGAGGGATAGAAGAGCAAGTGTTTGTAGCAGATGCGAACAACCAGTAATGAGGTAAATTTTGTACTGCTTTAATTTAATTTCTTTAGTGACTCATTCATTTATTATAATGTTAGTTATAAAAAATCAATATAAAAATTTTTAAATCCCATCGTCTGAATGTCTATACCCTTCTTAATTAATTTAAAGTCCTGGGCCGGGTCGTGACAACATGCACACAACAAATACCAATCTCATAAAAGTTTACTTATCCATCAACACAACATAGAATCTATTGCACAAATAATTATTGATAATGAAAACAAATATGATTTAATAAATATTAAGCTAAATGCGTAAATGTTCACATTTATACACAAAATCTAGATATAAATAATGATGTTTACACAAAAAATAAGAAAACAAACACTTAAAACCGTTCGTGGCGTCATCCTCCTCCCTCTCCTCTCCCTCATCCTCCTCAACCACATAACTCAGAGGCCATTTGCCATGGCGATGTATAATATGCTCTGGCTGTCAGGTTAAAGTGTCCTCCACTCTCCGCTGGTTCTTATGTAATCGAAGGATCTCGTTATTCATAGCAGTGATGTGCCGGGCAAGTTTCACATGCTCTGATAATAATGACCATAAACCACCTTGGAGAGCACTTGAGTGCTCGAACTTAAATGCAATTCCCTTCACACTTGGTTGTACACCCTCCGCTTCTTATTTTCCATTACCAGCCTCCATATCTTAAAGTCAGACTGTGCGGTGGTAGACTGACTATCGCTGCAGCTGGCTTCTGTCGGGATTTGGCTCTTCCTCTACCCCTGCATGATAATTAGAATCAATGATTAATTACCATTTTATATTAATAGTGCAACTAAATATTGAAAATCTTCTTTTTTCTACTTGCATTAACACTTTGAGAGAGGTTGGAGACCCACTATTGCGTCCCTGATTACTAATGCGTCCGGACATGTAATTCTGTAGTGGTGGGTGTCCAGCCAAGCTCTTGAACCTGTGGACATGATAAAATAGTTAGTACCACAAAATTGTATTTTTGAATTGTTGAGTATTCAACAAATCGGGGCTTTGTTATGGTGAAATGGTGGGAGAGCAAAGTGCTTGAGGGAGAAACTATCGAGAGTGTTGATGGAGAGGAGTTGGCTGAGGTGGGTATGAACAACACGGTGGATTTAACTAAACTAATGAGCCTCACAAGCTTCTCTCCTTTTTTACAACCTGCTTGCTTTTTTATTACCTTCTTTCCTAAGGCTTTGATTTGACTTCCTTGCTATTGTTAGGGGTGTCAAATTATATTTGTGGGTTGGGTTCGAGTCAATATGAAATTAAATGACCTAAAAATGCTTGTCTCGAACTTGAGCTGAATTTTAGATGGGTCAGTAAGTCCAAACCAATTATGACTCGTCTTTAACTTGCCAGCCCGAACTGGCCTGCATATCCCATTTATCATAAGGCATAACATAGCAACTATTTGGGTAGATTTCAAGTCAATTTCAATTAATATTCGATCAATTTCATCAAGTTTTGGGTCAACTTTGGGTTGGCCCGTCCAATTGAATTCGAAAAATTAAATGGATTATGATTCTTAACCCGAACCAGACATAAAAATTGTTAAGGTGAACCCGAACCCAAATTTTTTGGTTGAGTTCAGGTCGTGTTGACATGTTGGGTCAAATTTGGATAGCCCTAATTACTGTGCCATGAATGTTTTTCATAGTTAAAGTTGTATAGCAAAAGACCTCGATGAAAAAATTCAAGCTGATTATATAGCAGTAGAAATCAAATGTGCACAATTCTTAGTCCCATCTAGTTTTAGGATAAATGATGACTTGATTAAGGCAACAAGTAGAAACATCGTACTCATCTTATGGACAAGTTCGACCAGTAAGTGTTGAACGACTACTGATTAACTCTAGTGGTGAAAAACTACTTTAACAACTCGACCAGTGGTGACAACTATTTGTCAACTAGGTAAGTGCCGAACATATAGTCATCAATATGACATATGTTTTACTTTCTTTTACAATTTCATTCTATCAAGCTACAGATCATGCTACACAACTCTTATATTTTACTTTCTTGTACAAAGCATAAATGTAGCCATTTTGTACTGTGATGAATACCAAACCTAACTTATAAATTAGGGGTTAAGATTAAAAATTTAGGGTACAAAATATGAGGCATATAACTTGTGTACTTTACCCTATCAATCTATAAGATCCCATAAAAAAAAAAATCTATCAAATCCCATAACATCTCTTTTAATAGCTCTTTTTATCACACAATATATTTTTTCTTCCTATTTATTTCTTGTAGAAGTATGTTTGTCTATTTGGTGTAAATTCACAAACAAATTTTGATTGAACAAAAGCAAGGGTGGAAGGTGAAGAACAATAAGAGTTTGGGATCTTGTGTTTGAATGGAAGTGGGTGTAGGAAAGAAAGTGGTAGTGAGAGGGCAAGGCAAGGATGAGGGAGCTAGTGGGGGTGAGATGCGAGTTGGATATGGAGGTAGAGTAGTTTGTGTGAGGGTCAGTTTGGGGCATTTGACTTTTGAGAGTTGGGAATGAGTAGAAAAAGATGAGGCTAATTTTTTTCTATTTTATTTAATATTATAGCATGTGTTTATTTATTTTGGGTGTTATTTTGGTGATGGGATAGGGCAATGGGCCGATAGGATGGGTATTTGGCACTATTACACGATATGGGGGAAAGGGGAGAAGGGATTCCGTGGGATTGCATACTTCTTTTGTTTCAAACGATTTGATCTTTTCACGATTATGTTTTTCTAATAATTAATAGCTATTTAAAATAAAATTATGTATTAACTTAAATTAATTAAGAATAGAAAAATTTTCTTGTTTTATTTTCTTGAAAATAAATGCTTGATATAAAATTAGAATTATAACAGTAATTTAAATTTTAATTTTAAGCTTTTAAGTATTTAAAATATGATATACATGGTTAATAATATAGATAATGGTGATTATAATCTTATATTTGTTTAAATTTATTTTAATTTATAATAGTAATGATAGATTTTCCCTCACAATATTGTCTCTTGAGCTCATCAAAATTTATCTTAGCACCTTGTGTATTGATTTTGTTTTTTCTGCATAAAATTTTATTATTTGTACGTTTTGATTCTATGCTCATCACCTCAGTCACGAGCAAATTTTTGACTATTTCTTGTAGGCATTGTGAGTGATTATCCTAGATTTTTAGATTTTTGGACATATCGACATAGTCCGTTTTGTGCAACGGAAGATGACTTTGCATGTTCATGCATTGTCGTATTCTCAGGCTGTCATTTTTGCATATTTGCTCAGTCAATCGCGAGAGTTTTCTTTGGGTAGTTTTAGCATTCTAGATGTGTTGACACTGCTCGTTTTGCGCAATGAGTGATATTTTAATGATTTCATTACAATTGAGGATCCCACATAACTATGTTAATTTGTTGTCATTCTAGTGGCATTCCACAATAGTTTCATGACTAGAAATCAAAATTGTGTGAACAAAACGTGCCTTTTCACAGGCTATTCAAGCTCCACTCTGAACTCAAAATTGATTTCGAGGCCTTTTTAGGTCTGAACTAGATATATTTTATGTAATAGTGATGCTTGGAAATCATATTACATAAGAATCAATTTTGATTTGAATTAGAAATAATGACTTAAAGAGTCAAAGTTCTGTTTTGCTTAAAGAAGGAACTCAACTTCTGTATTTTGAATTCAATTAAACTCACTCAAACTCAACTTATTATTACCTTCGGCCACAAAGTTTAATATATCCCAGGTTAGTAAACTGTTGATTTTGATAGAAGAAATTAGATTTTGGTGAACGAAGAATAATAACGTTTTCCGATTTCTAAGATTACAATTAGGGAGATTCTTTGAACCCTTCACGCATCATTTGAACGAAACTTGGTAGGTTTTGCGACTGACTATAAGTCGATGTTCCTCTAGGTATCATCATCTAATTTTTAATATTTTTGTGAGCATATTTGAGTCTTCTTTCATGAAATTTCTATGAAATGCTAACAGCTTCGCTAACATCTTTGCAGGCATGGGAAGGGCGTGCATACGACTATGGTATGGCCAATCTTGAAAGTATGGGATTCCCGGTAGATGATCTTAAATTTGATCCTAACTTGGTATGTTTGAAAGGGCATGTTAAAGAGGTTGTTAGTAGCTTTTGCATTCAATGCTTCATTTTAGTTTTTTGGTTTTAAATGGCTTGTTTGGGTCGTTTTTGTTTTGTTTTCTTTTACTTTAATTTTAAAACATATTTTTTAGCTCATTTTATGGATGTTTTTACTTTTTTTTTAATATAAAAATAGTTTGTGTTTAAAAACACAAAAAATATTTAAAAGTTGGTTTGAGTGTTTTTAAAATAACTAAACATATTTTATAATATACCAAATATGTTTTATTTCAAGTAAAGACATAAATAAAATAAAATCAAAAGTATTCCCAAACAGAAAATAGTTTGTGTTTAAAAACACAAAAAATATTTAAAAGTTGGTTTGAGTGTTTTCAAAATAACTAAACATATTTTATAATATACCAAATATGTTTTATTTCAAGTAAAGACATAAATAAAATAAAATCAAAAGTATTCCCAAACAACCAATACGTTTAAACAATTTCTTCGACCTTGGTTGCACAACTCGGGATGTGTCTAACTAGAATAGTTGGAATAAGCTTAAGATGGTGATGATGACTAACTTCTTCTGTCATTGTCGTACAAAAAGCTAATAAAGAATTGTGCAACTTCGATAGCCACTTTTATGAAATTGGTCCCCATAAGTTGTTCCCCTAAGGCCCCATTTGGGATCACTTTTGTTTTCTATTTTTATTTTATTTTGTTTATTTTTTATTTTAATTATACCACGTTTTGTTATTGTGGTTATTGTTAAGAACTCTCAAAAATACATGAACAAAATATCTCTTAGGTATTTTGAGTGTTTTTAAAAATAAGATGGTTTGTTTAAAAGAAAAAATAAAATCATATAAAAATTATATTTACCATACATGTTTTCAAAAACTAAAGTTAAAGCAAAAACAAATATAGAAAATAAAATGATGCCAAATAAGCCCTAATATATTCATACCGTTTTATGTAGGTTATTAGAGGTCTTGTTATCGACAAGGAAAGAGGTAACTTGGTCAAGCCTGACAGATTCGGTTACGTTAAAAGGGCTATGCATGGTACCAAGATGTTATCTACTAGATCTGTAAGGTGTGCCAATGTTACAGAGTCTCTAGTTCTGAACTTCTTGAGCATTTCTCGTGTTACCCTTAGAGCCAATATTATTTTATGGTAATACTTCTCGTGTTGGCCTATTCAAATTTTGAATAGCTATTGTTTTCAAAATAATGTTGGCATTTCTCGTGCATGGCCTTGAGCCCCTCTTTCATATTATCTTTCTATCTATCCATTCATCGATTGGCAGACACACATGTAGGCACACACTCCCGCGCTCGCACACACGCACAAACCTAAAACAAACAAAACGAAAATTGGTAGACTGTCAAACCAGTAGAGGGCATGGTCCATAAAAAAATTTAATAGATGATTGGGTCACTCAGCTAGAATATTATACTTCATTACGCTGTTGTTAGGTTGAGCTGTATTCAAAATACATATATTATTGTATACATACATTTAAGCTTAAATGATATTCATGTACAAGCTTTTACTACATTCATACATCCACATGTACATATTGACATGCTAATTGATGCGCATATTGTCCATGTTTGTTAGGATACATTGTTGCACTTTGCAATGTGATGGATAAATAGAACTGCATCCATGCTTTTATGGATACGTGGGTACGTATGCATATGTGTTGGTGCAAGCTCATTTACACATCCACACATGTGTGCGTGCATGTGTCATAAAGTTTAACAAAGCTTTGATTGAAATTTCTTTTGTATCCGTTAGAAATATGCAAAAAGAAAATGGGTATATGATGCATATAAATTTTATGGGATCCATCATTGGGTTTTGCAATGTTTTTCCTTGTACGCATAAAAAAAGTTATGCTACCCTTCATCAAATAACCATTGAAGCTTCAAATGTCATGATAAACATCATTTTTAATGTAACAACTGGTCATCTATGTTGCTTAAACAAAAGCTCTAGTCCATTGGTCTGAGTTAGTAGTCGACACTCTCTTGTTACAATTGATAGCTAATCATTTGGTCCTCTGCTCCAGATGGTTGACAGGTTAGATGAAGGAACCATGCCTGCAATACTTGGACCACTTGATTATAAGGGGCTTTTTAAGGCAACCTGCTGCAGCTTAATAAAAAAATGTGGTGTTTTTTGGTTATTTTATGTTAACACTAATCTTTCATCCTTTCTTTTTGCAGGCAGTTTCTAAAGCTTTGTTCAGAGCACACGTAGAAGGCCAGCTTAAGGTAATTCTAAAAAAAAAAAATAAATAAATAAAAAAAACCATGCAACTTAATTTTTTCATTAGGGAATCATCTTAAATTTGTTCAGAGGGAGATAATGGCTGAGCCAGAGAGATTTGTTGAACCAGATCATGAAATTCCATTGGCACTTTTAGATCAAAAGGAGGCTTGTATCTGCCTTTTTCGCTCAATTTCTTTTCAAATTATTTTTTTTCCTTTTTAGTTTCTAAATGATTTTTTCTGTTGTAGGCTGGAAAAAAGTTGCTGCTAATCACAAACTCTGATTACCATTACACAAACAAAATGATGCACTATGCATTCAATAGGTTTCTCCCTAATGACATGGGATGGCGAGATCTGTTTGATATGGTTAGAGAATTTTTTGGTCTTTTGATAAATTGATTTTTAAGTTGTCTCATGGTACTCTTTTGGCATGTGCTTATTGATAAATGAGGAATTTTGCTGGGTAAAATTGCATATTAATGCCTCGTCAAAATTTTTTCTTCGGGTTAATGGTTTGTAGTCTTAGATGGTTTGGTCACATTAAACGTCGACCATCTGATGATCCGATTAGGAGAGTAGATGTTTTAGATTTGATTTGTGTTAAGAAAGGCAAAGGTAGACCTAGGAAGACTTGGGCTTATTGTATATAAAATGATCTTAATTTACTAGAACTAAATGAAAACATGACACTAAATAGGACTCAATGGAGAAAAAGGATTCATGTAGCCGACCCCACGTAGTGGGATTAAGGCTTTGTTGTTGTTGTTGTTGTTGTGGGTTAATGGTTTGTGGAAATATTGCAGGTTATAGTCTCTGCCAGGAAACCTGAATTTTTCCAGATGTCACACCCCTTATATGAAGTTGTCACTGCTGATGGATTAATGCGTCCATGTTTCAAGGCACATTCAGGTAATTTATGTCGGATTTATTCAACTTAAGTTTTTATTCAAGCCATGTCATTTTACACTATATTGAACCAATGCAACTATATACTTTTCATCAAATTCAGTTGACCGATAGATTCCTTTTATCTATAAAAACTTCATTTCTTGCAGTTCCATTTCATCATATGGAATGCCTGTAGTATGGGCGCCTTATCTTTGTATCTTTTCAAGGCCTTCCTTAGTTGTTCTTATGATTATGATTTTCTTACAAATCTTACTTCATGTGCTGATACTTGAGACACTTTTTTGGAGTTGCAAAGAGCCATTTCCTTTCTGACTTTTATCCAAGGATGCACATTTATAAAAAACTTCGTTAAATTAATTTTTTTAGACAATCAAAAAAACTTTGTCAAATTAATTTTTTTCTCACAGAATCACGTTTTGATGCTGGTAGCAGCCTCAGTGGTTGATTTATCATCTTTAAAGAAGATTTATACACAAAACTACAAAAAAAAAAGAAAAAGAAACATATAATTGGAATAAGAAGCACAAAAATAATCCCTTATGATCCCGACATTTGATCTATCTAGGAATTGTAGATTGATGCCATGGGAGGAGTCCTTGTGCTTTCTGTCCCTTTTGTATATGAATCCTATAGGAGAAGTATTTCCTTGTTAGCAAAAAATACATGACCTCTAATTTTCTTTATCTAGCACTCCATCCCGCCCTTCTTGATTTGATGGTCATTCAATAGATTGAGATAAGGGCAGTGAAGAAAAATATGAATATCCTATTTAGACTGATAGATGTTGACATTCCCACATGGAGTTTTGGGTTTTGGTGTGGGAGGGGTGGGAAGTGGGAATTTAGTCTCGTAAGCAAATTCCAGTACAGGATTTTTCCCGCCTCACAAGGCTGACCAGCTGTATGGTGCCCTAATTTAAATTATTTTGAATTAGAGTTAGGGTTTTAATTTATAGCTTAGTATAAGTATGTTGCTTAGAACTGAAGAAAAATATTTTGCTTGTGTTCATGCATTTAGAGATTGTGTATTTGATTATTATGCTCTAAGGAGTGTTGTTTTCTCTACTATTTACAAGTGTTGTGCGTGTAGCTTGTTTAAGAATAGGTGGTGGATTTCCCAAGGTAGCTATGCCCCCACCGAAACCATCGTTTCTTTGTTCTCCCTTATGTTTGCCGCTCAGATATCTTCCAAACTTCCTTAATTTCCTTACTAATTCTGTTGGTCTTGCATATTCTCTCATTTGATGTCCACAATTATCTTCTTGTTAAATCTGATCCTTCTTCTGGGATCCTAGAACAGAGCCCAGCATATCCTTTTGCCCATAACCACCATAACTACCCTTTTCAAATTCAAAATTTTCTCCCCTCATTTTTAAATTTTCCCTCCACTTCTTCTTAACTTTTCCCTCCAAAACTTTCCCCACTTAAACTCTCATCCCACCGAAAGCCCCCACTCTCTTCATCTTCCGTCATCCTCTCCAAACCGAGCTCCTCATCTCTTCTCATTCTCTTTCTCTCGCTCTTGCCCGAAATCATTCCTTCCCTAATCTCTATCCCCTCATCCAACCAAACCTTTATTTTCCTCTACCTTTCCTTTCTAGTCGAGACTCTGTACACCAAGGAAGGCTCATCCAAGTAAACAACCAAGGCAACATTCCAAGCAAAGGTTTAAATTTTTTATCTTTCATAATTTTAAAATGTTTTGTGTGATATAGATTGTAGACATTTGGTGAAGCACTTCCTCCCTTCTCTTTTCTCTCATGACTGAGCCTTTTCTCCTTCTCTCCTACCCGAAAATTTAAGTCACCTTGCCTTCTTCTCTCTCTTCCCTCGCTCTATCCGAGGACTCATGGCAAATAAAAGGGAAATGTATTATAGGAATATTTCATGCAATATGAATACCATGTAGTTTGTGCATATGTTTCATGCTAAGGAATATTCACGTGTTTATGTGTCATGCAAATTCATGCGGTTTAGGCTTATCTTTCATGCAAATCTATGTGGTTGTTTTTCTCCTGCAAATACATATGTGGTTGTGTATCTCTCATGCAAATCTATGTGGCTTATGATTACCTTTCATTCAAATCCATGAGGCAGTTTGTCTCATGCAAATTTTTATGCGATTGTATATCTTTCATGCAAATGTATTTGGCTTTGGTTTACCTTTCATGTAAATCTATGTGGCTTAGGTTTACCTTCCATGCAAATCATGTGGTAGTTTATTCCATGCAAAATATTTAGGTGGCGTTTGTTTCATGTAAATCTTTATGTGGCTTTATGTTTATGAATATCTATCCATGCTTAGGTTTATTTTTTCATGCCAAACATTCTTGCTTGGGTTGATGCCTTTCATGTCAAATATCCATGCTGGGGTTTATGTCTTCCATGCCAAACATCCATGCATGTAAACTTCCATGCTTTGGTTTATATTCATGCAAGTGAGTTAGTTATGGCTCTGTGGATTTAGTAAAAACATGCTTATAATAATGTATTGTGCTTATATGCTTGGAAATGAAGACCTTCATGTGTTTGGTTTTCAGAGAGCGATTTTAAAAGCTTAAAAAATCTAGTGACGTTAGCTTATGCATTTGGAGAAAGGAAAGTCTGTAGGATCTGATGATATCTCAATTGAAGTGTGGAAATATTTAGGAGATTTGGGAGTTTCTTGGCTAACTAAACTCTTTAATATTATTTTGAAAACTAAAAAGATGCCAGAGGAGTGGAGGAAAAGTATTTTGGTTCTTATTTTTAAGAATAAAGGGGATGCATAAGAGTGTGCAAATTATAGAGGAATTAAGTTGATGTGTCATACTTTAAAATATGGGAGAGGGTAATTGAATATAGACTAACATGTAATACAAAGATTTCTCATAATCAATTTGGATTTATGCCCAACAGGTCTGCTATGGAAGCTATACATTTATTGAGAGGTTTGGTGGAGAACTTCAGAGATAATAAGGAGGATCTACATTTGATTTTTATTGATTTAGAAAATGCCTATGATAAGGTTCCAAGATATCCTTTGGAGAGTTTTTGAGAAGAAAGGTGTTGATATGACTTATATTCAAGTCATTAAAGATATGCATACTAGAGCTACTACTTGTGTTCTAACAGAAGGAGGATTGACTAAATAGTTTTCTATTTTTGTTGGATTATATGAGGGATTGGCTTTAAACCTATATCTTTTTGCTTTAGTTATCAATGGTCTTACTTGACATTTATAGGAGGATGTACCTTGTTGCATGCTATTTGCTGATGATATCCTTCTTGTGGATAAGACGAGAAAAAAAGCCCAAGAAAAACTTGAATTATGGAGGTCTATGGAGGTCTACATTGGAGTCTAAAAGTCTAAAGGCCTACGTTTAAGTAGAACTAAAACTGAATACATTGAATGTAATTCTAGTAGTAGTAGCCCTAGTGACAGAGTGTAACTTGGTTGATCAAATTATTAAAAGGTGTGAACAATTTAGATGTTGAAAGCGATGGTGATATAGATGGGGATGTTCTATGTCTCACCATGCGATATTTTTAAGCATCGGGCCTTTTGTGTGATAGAAAAGTACCATTTTGATTGAGAAAATTTTATAAGATGGTGGTGAGACCTGTAATGCTCTATGACTCAATGCTCTATCAATGCTCTATGGTGCAAAATGTTGGTCTTTAAAAGAGAAGCATAATACTAAGTTAAGTGTTGCCAAGATGAGAATGATTAAGTGGATGAGTGGCTTTACACCTAGAGACCAAATGCGATATGAATATATCCGTGATAGGGTTTGTGCAGCACCAGTGACGGACAAAAGTTAGAGAAAGTCATCTTAGATGGTTTGGTCACATTAAACATCGATCATCTGATGATCTGATTAGGAGACTAGATGTTTTAGATTCAACTTATGTTAAGAAATGCAGAGACAGACCTAGGAAGACTTGGGCTTATTGTATAAAAAATGATCTTAATTTGTTAGAATTAACTTAAAAAATGACACTAAAAATAGGATGCAATGGAGAAAAAGGATTCATGTAGCCGACCCCACTTAGTGGGATTAAGGTTATATTGTTGTTGTTGTCTTATCCACCATAATGAAGGGTTACACTTGTTACTTTTGCATTTGAGGGAGAACATGATAGATAGTGGCAAGGATAGTGCATAAGAAGTTTGGAAGTAGACTAGGCATTTGGTGGAGTGGGAGGAGTTTGTGGCAACCTTTAGAGACTGGTTCGTACTACTGTCAGTAGGAGACAAATATATGATAGGTTTATCAGGTTGGTGCTGGGTGATTGTGTCCTTGACTTTGGTGGAGGTTGGGAATCACCTATACCTTTAGTAGAGTTTGCCTTTAATAACAATTATCAGACTAGTATTGGGATGACTCCATATGAAGCCCTGTATGGAAGGAAGTATAGGACACTTCTATGTTGGGCTCAAACAGGTGAAAGAAAGATTATTGGAGCTGATTTAGTTGATGATGCTATTGAGAAGATTAGACCGATTAAAGACAGATTGAGGGCAGTGTAGTAGACACAGAAAATATTACAATGTCAAGCACATATCTGTTGAGGTTGAAGTTGAGAGTTTATTTTCATCAATGACATACCATTTAAAGGTGTGCAACGTTTTGGGAGGGCTGCAAAATTGCGCCCCAGATTTGTCGGTCTATTTGGGATTGAGAAGATGATTGGGAAGGTGACTTACAGATTGGCTTTACCAGCTCATATGCAGAGAGTGTATAATATGTTTTACATTTCTTCATTGAGAAAGTATATTATAGATGAAAACAGTTGGGTGATAGCAGACTTAGTTGATATTAAACCTGATCTGACCTATGTTGACGAGTCTGAAAGAATTCTGGGTTATGATGAGAAGAAGATGCGGAGCAGAGAAATACTTTTATTAAAGATTTTATGGAAGCATGGATCAGAAGGATGCCACCTAGGAGAAAGTTTCTAAGATGCAAGAAAGATATCCACAAGTTGTTTGAGTTATGTTCACTTAAATTTCGAGGATGCAATTTTTATAAGAAGGAGAGATTGTAATGTTTAAAATTTCAATAAAGGAATAAAAAAATAAAAATAAAAAAAAGGGGCCAACAGTTAGAAAAGTCGCATCCCATCGTAATAAACATTACCTAATTCTTCCACACTTCCTCTCATTCGAAACATAAGAGCAAACGAGAAGGAGAGCAGAAAGATTGAGAAAGAAGGTTGTGCCCTAGGTAAGTAAGGAAGAAGTAGCAGGTGCTGTGTCAACCCGTGCGAGAGAAGAGAAGGAAGGAGAGGAAAGAGGTGGCATCAAAAGCTTACTTGGACGGAGCCTCGATCGTGGAAGAAGGAAGACGAAGGAGGAAGAAGGAAAAATTTGTTGTTGATATCATGTAGTGTCGCGTCGTGTGCTGAGGAAGCCACGATAGAGACGAGTAAAGGAATCGTTGCGAGGCTGTCGTTCGTGCAAAGGAATCGTTGCGGGTCGAGTCATGATCGAGGAGGCAAGGAAAAGGGAGCTTGAGCTTGCGTGGTCGCAGAGGCTGAAAGCAGGAATAAGTTGATGAGCGGACCTTCGAGTGTGAGTTAGGGTAGACAACTAAAGGATTTAAAGGTAAAGGTAATGATTTAAGTTTAATTAAGTTAATATAATCTTAAAACTTATGTGTGTGCATGTTATTGATGCAAGATTTTATTAAATCATGATTGAAGTTATTAAAATTCTGAGGAGTAACACAAACTTTTATGCAAAGGAAAAGGAAGATTGTCAAGCACCCAAAAGATTTTAAGGTATTTATTAAATTAGTTAATAAATCTATCATTTTTGTGTGAAGGTATATTTAATTAATCAATGCAAAGTTTTTTTGAAACAAAGTTCTAAATATAGAGATTTCAGCTTTGAAGGAGAGGTTTATGAAGCAAACAAGTATGGGGAAGAGATCGACTTCAAAGCCTGTAAGGTAAATGTTAAACCTAATATTACTAATGAAATTAATAACGTAATTAGTTAAATTAATTATTTTTATTAAATTTATTTACATTGGGACGTGTGAAGAATTGAATATATCTTTAGGATTTGAGGATGATAAAGAAGCCTAAAGCTAAAAGAGGTTCGCATCTTAATACCTCTTTTATTTTTTATAAGATTCTCTTTAGAATGTAATTCATATACATATACTCATATGCACTTTTAATTGATTTAGGTGTTAGTTAAAAGAAGTGAAGTGATAGACTAGGCATTTTCAGATGTCTCTAAGTCAAAGTGAGTAATTATTTTTTATATGCATTAAATTTAAAATTTATTAAATAAAGAATTTCTTTAATGCGTTAGACAATTATTTTATATTTGTAGCTTAAGAATGAAAAGAAATGAAAAGGAAAAGGAAAAAGAATGCTTAATGTATTTAATAGGTTGTAATTTAAATGAAATTAAATGTTTAAATCACACAGAATTCTCCCCAGATGTTATTGACAGAGGATGCAATATACCCACGCATGTTAAATGAAATGATAAAGGTGCGTCTTCGGGTACAATTTGAGGATACCTTTGGGTACATTTTTTAGGGTGTCTTCGGACATATTTTGTGGGTGCTTTCAGACACATTCTTGATGATACCTTCGGGTATGTCAGGAATCTTATGATGACTATTAAAGATGTTAAATTGGTAAATACTTAAAGTGAAACAAGAAGAGATAATTTTGAAATTTTAATGAAATGAAAAGTGTGTTCTTTTGGTCATTCATGCATTGCATATTATAACATAAGAAGTTTAATGCCTATTAGATTTTAATTATTCACTGAGTTATACTTGTGGTTGTAATTAATTTTTTTTGGGAGAAGAAAAATTATAAATTGATTTGTTTAATATGAGAGATTTGGTCTATCAGTGAAGAAGCACTGATGCTAGGTATTTTTATGATGATAGTTTTCTTTACTGTTTCCATCAGACATTGATTTACTGTTCAGTTCTTGATTGAAATGTTGTTGGTGGATGATTAAAATTTTATTGCACTTTTTAAATGTATTGGGAGTTTTAAAAATGTGGATAGTTAGTTAGATGTTAGTATTGTGCGACCGCTTTACCCGCCTTAGTTAATTCTAAACACCGGCCCGGGTCGCGACATATTTCTCATAATTACTTGATTATGTCAACTCAAGTAAATATGAATGTACAACTTTCAATGATTTTTATAGTGGGAGATTTGTTACATTGACACACACTTTTTGGTAACTCATTTTTGAAGCAATCTGATGCAGGTTATATGAAACTTGCATACAACAAAAAGGCCATTATTTTTCAGTACTTTCACCACAGCTCAAGATGAAACAGGAAGTTGGGTTTTTATTTTGCAGCAGTAAATTTTGAGCTGCTTCTATACAGCCAGGAATATGTGAGCTACCGTGAATTAGCATGACACTTGTTAGTTATCACCTGATTTTAAGCATCACACGATTATCTGACATATTGGTATTAGCAGTATTTTGGCAGACTTTCTTAGTTAATTTGTTGTCTGACCTTGAGTTCAAATTTACTGTATAAAAAATGTTAAATTGCTTTATTGTAAGATAAAAATGACATAGAATTATTGATGTCTGCTAAGTCCTTCTTTTCATAGAGCTTGGGCAGCAATACAAAGGCTACATGTTCTCAAACTTATGTATGACTAGAACATGCAAATCGCTTTATATTTTCTCCTGTTCGGTTATTAATTGAAGCATGTAGTTAAATGATCTGAAGTTGCTTGAAAAATGATGCATTAAAAAAATAACATTGATCTTAGTGTTGCAGCATCTTTTTGAAAGGTTTGTATCTTGGCGATAGCAGCATGAATAAATCTTCCTTTGAATAGCAGGAGGCTTGTATTCAGGCGGCAGTGCGCAGATTGTAGAGAAGTCCCTAGGTTTTCAAGGTGATGAGATTTTATATGTTGGTGATCACATTTTCACGGATGTAAGCCAATCCAAAGTTCATCTGCGATGGAGGACGGCATTAATATGTCGAGAGCTGGAAGACGAGGTTAGTGTATTTCTTGCTGTTGTATTTCAAAAGAATGCTATGATGTTGCTGACTGCCGTGATAATATGATTGATTTCTGCTGTAATATGATTCTTTCTGGTACTGTTAGATGGCTATATGCAAATAGTTAGTGTTGTAGATTCATATGAGTTCAAGTTACTGACACTTCATGTTGGGAGTATCGGACAAAGTCTTTTAATTATCTGGACATACAGTTCAGTTTCATTTGTGGATCATAACAGTCTTGAAAGTGGCAGCAATGTTTCAAAATCTGAGAAACTAATAAACTAATAGATCAATGTAGAAAATCTACTTCAATGAGAAACAATACTTGAGGTTTAGGGGAAAAAAAAGCTTGAGGTTTGGGTTACCAAGTTGATGTCAGACCACTGAAAGGTTTAGTAAATGCCATGGTGTAGAGGGAAATGAAATATGGCACCAGAAACTAAAATGATCTTCACCTTAAGATGCAAATGAGACTAGATAAATTCTGGAAATGTCTTAAGCTAATTGTGCAGATGTTTTGAAGAGCTTGGAGTTAAGATTAGATTGTAAAGTTGATTCAGCTAAAGACAATTACAAATTGGCCTATAACAGCTACAAGTTAGTAATGTAGATTGGAGAAGTTTTTCTATTATCATTGAATATAAGCATCACCATCTAAACTTTGAAACCAAGAATTCAGCGAAATTGAAGTAACTTACCAATGAGTGTAATTTAACCACAAACTTATGTGATGAGAAGATCTCAACGTACATAATTTAACCACAAACTTATGTTATTAACAACGACATTATTATAGTTCAAAATTCAAAATAATTGAGCTAAATAAGTAAATGTAAGAACTGAAGTGAAATATTAGGAATCACTTGCAATCCTTCATGGTAATAACAACCTTCCAATATTTGGAAGTCCTCCAAGAATAGGTACCATCTTCAATGAAGAAATATTTTACGCTAATAAAGAAGCATACGAGCAAGAATGGATGGAGATTCACAAACACTCCTTGCATGACGCTGGCCTAAGCTGGAAGTCCTCCAACTCCATAACCATCTACTGCTAGTCCCCTCCCTTCAAGCCGCCGCCATTCCTACTCCCTCCAATGCCGCCGCTACCTGCTACCAGGCCCCTTCAATCAGGTCGACACCACTCCTTACTCCTTCCAGCCTTGCCACACTTGCTTCCAACCCCCTTTCAGCACGTCGTCTGACCCCTTCTGATTCCTCCAGCATCACCACACCTCCCTCCCTTCGCTTCCAGACCTACCTCTCTCCTCTAGAGAGCCGTTTACATGTTCGTGTTGTTTTTATTCGTACTTTGAGGAGTCATGCCACTTGATCGTTTGCATGTTTGTATTGTTTTATGTTGAGGAGTCATCGTTGTAATTTTTGAATTTAATAATAAAAATTTTCATTTGGTCGTGATTTGGGTTATCTCCGCTATCTTTTAATATCAGAGCTAGCCCAACTATAGTCATATCATAAGATTTTCTAGCATCCGGACTTATACCCCTAAAATGTTTTTCCCCAACCACCACTTCCTTAGCCAAATCCTAAACATGCCACCACGGAGATACATATCGGACCCTACCCTGGATGAGATACAACCAGAGATCCATTGTCTGCAACAGAGACTGGTTGAGATGGATGGTGGGACCTAGGAGAAGGTTACACTCGATCGTGATCTGGAGAGTCGAAGGGGAGATAAGGATGAAGAGCTGAAGTTGTTCCACAGAGAAGACATCAATGATGAGGATTATCAACCACGCCACTTTAGAATTCAATATCAGAGGAGGCTGAGAGACGTGGAAGATAGGAGACTTCGACATCAAGATGAAATTATCAGAGTTGACAGAGGTATGGACTAGATGATTTTATAGACTGACTACAATCGACAAAATGAATCCTCAAATATAAGGAGGTGCCAAAGGATAAGCGGGTGAGATTAGCAACTATCAAGTTAAAAGAGCGTCTCTTTATGACAGTAAAATCTATAGAGACGAAGGAAAAGAGATGACAGTGATAAGATCACCAAGTTTGAAAAGACGAAGAAAACAATGCAGAAGAAATACCTTCCACCTCATTACCGCCAGAACATGTTTCTGAGACTATACCGCCTACAATAGCAAGACCTTTTAGTGGAGGGATTCACAATTCAATTCGACCAATTATAGATGAAATGCGAGTTGATCAAGTCGAAGGAGCACCCTTTAGCCCAATACCTCGGGGGCCTGAAGCTTGATATTAGCAATGTGTTGTAGCTGCAATTATACTGGATGCTTGGGGATGTTCAAACTCTAGAATTGAAGGTGGAAACACAACAAAAATAGAGTAGATAATAATCGTCCTTCAGGCAGCAATCTTCATTCAAGCAATCGCCTATAGCTGGCCAAAGAAAAGAAAAGCGATACATGAATCAACCGTGCTTAGTTGAATTTTCGATTGAGGATCAACTACAGAAGCAAGTATGGTGCGATGTTGTTCAGATTGACGCTTTTCACATTCTGTTGGGTAAGCCTTGGCACTTCGACTGCAAGACTCAACACACCTGCTTCAAGGATACTTACTCTTTTAAGAAGGATGGGAAACACATCATATTGTTCCCTTTTAAGGATCCCAAAGGGGGAGGCGACATAGAGGAAGCATTAGTTTCTCGGGCCACCTTCATGCAGTTAGTTCGAGATGCTCCTCATGAAGGGAAGTGAGGAGAGTAAGTTACCAACACTACTGCATTCACTACAACAGGATTTCCAGGATGGAATGACCGACAGTCTTTCAGATGGATTATTATCACTGAAGGACATTCAATACACCATAGTTCTTATGTCGGGATTAGTGTTGCCAAATCGTCCCACCTACATATTGAGACCTGTAGAGTACTAGGAGTTACAACAACAGATACAAGATCTCGTCATGAGAGTCTAGTCGTAGTATACCAGTCCGTGTGCTGTTCTTGCCTGATGGTGTCCAAGAAAAATGGGTCGTGTCGAATGTGCATCGTCAATAGGTCCATCAAAAAAATAACCATCAAATACCGATTTCCCATACCTCTCTTGGATGATCTCTTGGACAGGGAGCCATCATCTTTTCCAAGATCGACTAGTGTAGTGGGCATCACCAAATACAGATGAGGCTAGGAGACAAGTGGAAATCTGCTTTCAAGACACGAGATAGTCTATATGCGTGGATAGTTATGCCCTTCGACTTGTTGAACGTGCCCAACACTTTTATGAGGGTTTTTGTTTATTTTTCTTTTTTTATTTTAAAAGTAGTCGCCATCTTGTCGATTGTCGTATACTTCCCCCATTCGAAAAAATCTTCCTCTCGAATCAAATCAGTGATTCGAAGATGAGAGGAACCAAATAAAAAATGACATACGACAAAATGACAGACAAGAGAAAAAAATAAAATATGGAGGGTCTACATGCGATAAACCTCACAAGAATATGTTAAAAATGTTCGCCCAAACAAGATTCGAAAGAGACACCTTGAACCGACATTCGCGAAAGAAGTATTTACGTAGACTACACATAACCAGAGAGTTAGGTGTATATACTTGTTCTGGGGTCTAGAGCACTCTCAGAGGAACATATTCCTACTGGTTAATTACATATTGGGGGATACCCAATAATACTCTCGATAAAATGAGATCAGTAAAAGAAGGTTAATCCGTGTGAAAAAGTCCTGATGTTTTAAAGCTCACGCTAAGCCATCAGACAGAGAGCGAGTCTCTCACATCCCAAGTGGGTAGCAGCTCATTGACATACGAAACCCATGAAATAACTTAAATTATCTTGACGGGGATATCCCAATACGTCAAAGGACATCCGGGCCATAAGGACAGATTACAAATCGTCGTATCCCAAATGGGCGGCAGCTCATCGGCATCAGACCATCATAATGATATCGACGAAGTCAAAGGAGTGATAGGGTTGAAATGGGCTCAACAACAGGAAGGTAGAGATAACTGGTCGGGGTACCACGGATCTGTTATCCACAGTTACTAGAACCCTAGGTCTATCTAGTCGTAAATGTAATCTACCCAACACGTCCTGAGATCCCTGATCAACAATCCGTGATTTGCGTCGTCCACGGGGAACTCGATAACCCTAAGGTCATAAAAAGGAAACTCTATCCTATAACTAAAAGCTGGAGCTCCAAGAGGTGAGACCTACCTGCCGAAGTAGCGAGGATGCCTCAGTAAAGAAGAGAAAGGGAGATTCAACTACAAAGTTGGAAATGCTCTAAACAAAAGGACTTACACCCCGTCTGGGTTGGGGAGCCTTCTAACACCCTAGACACACCAGACAACCATTTATATAAAAATGTATGCTGGGCCAGTCAGGTTGGGCAAGCACGGGGGCTTCTCCCGGGACATGCATCGTAGCTGCTCTTACAGCCTTGCCAAACTAATTTCTTGCCACCTAATCATTGTCCGAGCCATGTACAACCTCTTCGCCGCAGTCCACAACTTTTAACCTTCTCCCTGTTGCCGACCAAGACTCCCCTTCCCCTTCCCCTTCCCCTTCCCGGTCGCACCCACTGCCAATTCCCAACCGCTTTCACAGGTCACCACTATGGGGATACACTTTACTTGAGTTTGTTTGTGTTTGTAGTCGTATTTCTCTTTTAAGAGTGTTTGATTGTAACCATATTTGCTTTTGAGTAATAATATTTGTTTTTCCTATTATGGTTTGGGTTAATTCCGGTATCATTTGATATCAAAGCTAACTTAATCCTAGTTTTATCCTAGGTTTTCCAAGCCTTCTCAAACACCCTCTTTGACTCCCACAAATCCTAAACCCTAAACCCTAAACAGATGGCGGAACCTACTTGGAAGATATACAACCAGAGATCCGTCGACTTCAGAAGATTCTTGTGGAGATTGATTTTGGAACCCATGGGAAAATTACCCTCGATCATGATTTGAAGAGTCGAAGAGAAGGACAAACCACACACTTCGAAGTTCATTATCAAAGGCCGAGAGAGAAGGTGATGTATGGAGGACAGGAATTTCTAAATAAAAGTGTATCTACTGGAGTTCGATTGGGGATGGATCTAGATGATTTCATCAAATTGCTGCGTGGTTGAGAGAATCTTTAAGTACAAAGTGGTGCCAGAAGACAAGAGGGCAAAACATGATGCCATCAAATTGAAAAATATTGCTTCCTTGTGACAGGAAAACTTACAGAGACAAAGTAGTGAAGGAAGGACAAGATTACCAGTTGGGAGAAGATAAGTGAGGAGATGCAAAAGAAATCCTTACCTTCTCACTACCGTCGAGATATTTTTCTGAGGCTTTATCACCTATAATATAGAGAACTATCAGTGGAGAAGTTCATAACTCAATTTGACCAACTTCAGTAATGTGAATTGGTTGAGCTAGAGGAACATACTATAGCTCGATATCTTGTAGGCTTGAAGCCAACCATCAGTAATATTATGCAATTGCAGCTATATAGTTCAATGGGAGATGCCCAGCCCAAAACTTAGCATTGAAGGTGAAAAGATAGCAGGAACAGAGTAGGCAATCACCATCATTCAAACAACTATCCGTAGTTGTAGACATCAGCAGGAGCACGCCTTAGAAAGTTGAGAAGACTGGTTAGGATAAGGACATAGCCACTCTGAGTGAGAAAAATCTTGGAAGAGTAGCACACCCACTACAATCCTAGCCAAAAAATGTTTCAGATTCAATAGATTTGGGCACATCTCCTCCAGTAGCTCAATGAGCTGGGTTGTGTCATTTACCGAACAAGGTGCTGTGGAGGAACTTAACAATGATGAAGCAGCTAAAGAAAAGGGTGAGGAGTATTTTTTTCTAGTTCCACTAGATGAGGGTGAGATATTTGTGGTTCAACAAGTTCTTTAGACTGAAGCATCGAAGAGGCAACTATGGCTTCCCACAATATATTCTATTCTCGTTGCACTGTGAAGGGAAATGTATGGAACATCATCGATCGAGGTAGCAACATAAATATGACATCAATACTGATGGTTGACAAGTTGAGTATCACGGTTCTGAGAATCCCTAGCCACATTTCCTAACAAGGATGAAAAAAAGAATAGTATCGGCATTGACTGGAGGTGTATCATGGAGTTTTGATTAGGAGTCAGTTGTAAGATGATGTTTGGCACGATGTGCCCATGGATGCCTACTATCTTTTTTCGGGGAGACCATGGCAGCATGATCGCATGACTCAACATGATTGGTACAGAAACACCTAGTTATTCACCAAATTAGATGGCAAGCCCATAAACCTTGTACCTTCTGCGGAGTCCGAGATTAGGTGTTCTTAGCAGCAAAATTATATCAGAAGGATAAGTCTTGGGGATGATAGAGGACCACGAGAGCGAAGAGCCAGTAGCAGACACAGGACAATCGGTACAGAGAGGATTTTAGGATATTGTATTCTCTGGCTTGCTTGCCACCTTGATTGCTACGATTCAGAGAGATTTAGATTATCCTCACCTCAGATCGGGCTGAACTATTATTGAGTTATTTTTCTAGTATCTAGCAAATTACACTTGGCATGGAATCCCGTTTCAGCTTAATAAGGTACACTCAGATTGTTGGACCGATATAGATGTTTGCTCGTAAGTGGGAAAAACTCAAGCGCTTTGGGATACAGTGCAGTCGCTGGCGAGATCCGTGAATTTTGTATTTTGCATTAAAACTAAATCGAAAATATTACAAATGGGTTACATAAAAAAGACCCAAAAAACAAAACAAAAGCTATGTCTCATGGGTATTTACGAAATATTAACTATCTTACTGAGAACTAAAAAAAGGGGTCATTTACATTTACATGTTGTAAGGTCACTGCCTAAAGCCATCTTTACACAAGCATGGGCGGCCACATTGTCTCTATTGGTATGTTTGAACAAAACTTGCTTGAAACGAAGCAAGAAAGAAAAATTTGGATTATTGAGAATTTGTGTTTGCTAAATTTTCATTTCCAATGTGCTTTTCAAGAAATTTATGACATTGAAGTTCTCCGCTTCAATAATGATACCTTTACCTTCAAACATCTAATCTTCCATAAGTGTGTGGAGGTAGTGCACTGCTTGGAGTTCCACAAAAGCATTGCCCCAATGCAAAAATTTGTGACCGAAGCCACAATAAGATGCCCAATTCACCCCGAATAATGATTCCAATAGCCGCCAAGTTAGAGGGGAGAATAGTTCCGTCGACATTCACCTTGATCCGCCTCTAGGGAGGGGGGGGGGGGGGGGGGGGGTGTAAAAAAGGGGGGGCGTGTGCCAATAGGATTGTATAAACAACCAGGTAGGCTGAATGATGCCCAATGCTCAGTCATGAGGAAAATTAGGGTTAGATAGAACTTTAGGCTGGTTGGAGGCGACAGTGGTGGGTGTACCGTGGGATTTAACATGCTTTTTGGCTTTCTTGTTGCGCCAACAGAGGTAGACCACATTGCAATATTCTTGCTGAAGGGCTAAGGGAAGAAGCTATGCTTATGAGCTTTAAGAGCGCATCCTCATAGTCCACATAGTTCGGGATGATGAATCCCCAAGGTCTAACTTTGTTGAGTACTTCAATAAAAAATAAACAATTAGTTGAAATATGAGTTTTGTCCTCCACACCTTCACATCCCAAAGGACACTGAGAGGAGTTGGGTAGCCCCCACAAGGCTAGCCATGAGTTGGCGGGAATAACATCCAAACTAAGCTGCCACCAAAAAAATTACTCCCTTGGCCGCAATTTTAGATGTGCGAGCCAGCCATGAGTAATCTAGAGTGCACGAATTCAACTCTGTATGCATTGGCCATGATTGTATTTTCTCCAAGCCGCGTGCACATCTCAGGGGTGACGTTTTGTTGGTCATGAAAAATTGAGGTGCTGAGAATCACTTTGCACAACTCCTTCCTTTAATTAGTCAGCGAGATCTAAGTTCTTCTCGAACTTTAGTCAAACACCCCAACCCCAGGAGATTACAACTCCACTACTTCAACGTACATACAGAAGCCTCAACTCCCCACAACTCCTGGAGATTGATGTGGGTGCGCCAATAAAGGTGTAGGTGCGCCAATAATGGCGCAGTCGCGCCAATAGCGCCACAGGCGCGACTTAGAGGGAGCTATTGGCTTCTTTTGTGATGTTGTTCACTGGACCAAAATAGCCTAGACTCGGGAGGGTTGATCGGGTCTCCTACAATGGAATGGTCCCTCCATTCCATATGAGGATACAATCTTAGTTGTCTAGGCTTATATATATATGATTCTGGTGTTTTAGGTTTTTTAATATTTTTGTGTTTTCTGTCAGGACAAAGGCTGACATCCAGGTTTTCCCGTCTAGGGCTGTATCGGAAGACAAGTGGTATTTCTACTGTATCTCATTCGAGTCGGTGACTATCCTTGACTTTTCCACTCCTTTGCATCTTTCTCTGTCTCTGCCATCACCGTTTGCGCTGCAACCACCCGGAAGAACTCACTTATTTCCCAAACCCTTTTCCCACCTAGCTCCCTCCCACTTTGCTGCCATCTTTCACCGCCATCTTCCAGCACTCAGCCAAATCCTCTCCTGCCAACTATGCTCCCTCCCAACCTCCTGAAATCCCTTTCCCCGCATCATAGCTGCTGTTCCAGCCTTGCTGAACCAGTTTCCTGCCACCTCATAGTTGTTCCAGCCGTGTACAACCTCGCCACCACAGTTCACAACCCCCAAACTCTCAATCTCTTTCACTGTCACCACTCTGGGGATACGCTTTATTTGAGTTTGTTTTGTGTCTATTTTTGTATTTTCCTTTTAAGTGTGTTTGATTGTAACTCTATTTGCTTTTGAGTAATAATATTTTCCTTCTATGTTGTGGTTTGGGTTAACTCCGGGATCACTTTCCATCAATGAAATTATGGAGCCTTGGATGCTTAATGTGTGGGAGTTCATTATAAAGGGTGACAACATTAATATCATTTAACTTCTTTAACACAACATTGACAATAGAGTTTGGCAGACCTGATTGTAGGACAATCCAGATTTTACCTTCATTATTCAGTTCAAGCAGGTGTTTTTCTAGCGCACACCCAGGGACTGCAACTTGGCTGCTCATTGTTGTGCTCAGACGGCTTTGCAAGATACTTTTTAATTGAATACATGAGTCTCATGCACTTTTTTCTCTGCTTAGGGATGTTAGATCACATTTTATACATGCATAGCTGTATGTCTTCTATTATTTTTTGATATTTTGATGTAGAATGTAATATGTAAGTTTCAGTTGTAGCTGCAGTTGGGCACTATTCTATTTTCTAACTTTTCATGTGTAGTTAATGTTCGCATATATGAAATTATTCATGGATAGGTATAATAAAACATTAAAATTAGAAGATGAGGGTGGAAGAAAGAGCATTTGCTTAGCAATAATGAAAAGAAATTGGATCCTTAACTGATATGGAAGAAGCGGGATCATTTTTTTTTCTTACCACAGTGACTTTTGTTAGGAAAGTGGCAAAACTGAAAATTTTCCGGTTGTCATGTGCTTTTGCTGTTTCTCCCTTGTTGCCCCCCTTTCGTTGTCATGGCTTTTTATATTACAACTTCCTATCTGCCATGGTTGCCTCGAAGATGTTCTTTGGTTGACAACGAAACACAAAAATTCCACAATGTTTACAGCCTGCAAATCTGGTTCATGTGTTAAATTTGTTTTTATCTCCGCAGACCATTTGTCTTGAAGTTTATTGTTATGTAAGCATTAAATTCCATATTTTTTTTAGATATCCATTATTTCTAGTACAATCTGCTGATTATGATATCTCAAATATGCTGTGGAATGTATCAATTTAAGGTGGTGTTTTTAGTTATTTTAGACAACGACAAACTGGCCTTATTAATATAAGAAATTTCTTTTGTAGTTTAATGCTCTAGTTTATAGCCGTGATCACAGAAAAGCGTTGATTAAGCTTGTACATCAGAAGGATGTTGTGGGGGATTTGTTTAATCAGCTACGTCTTGCACTGCAACGAAGATCTAAAGATCGTCCAGCACAGGTAAATTTGTCTACAGGATAACTGATGTTCTCTATTTTCATTTCAACTCTAATGGCCTATAGGAAGCAATCTCAAATCTTTTTCTTATATTCATTAGTTAACTGGTGACATCAATTTTTAATATTTTATTGTCCTATATCTATACATGTATCTGCCTGCATTTTAAAACACATGCATGCACATGGATTTTAAATTACATATGATTAATAATAGTTCCATAATTAGAGTAACATATATTTGTTAATATATATCCCATATATCTTAACCTGTTCTAGGATTTTCTGAACACGACTATCTCTGGCTAAGAAATCCTTAATTCTTCTTTTCAAAGTAGCCTACTGTCATCATTATAATTAATAATGGATAGCTTTAGCTTCTGTAAAATTTTTAAGTAACTGCTCCAGGTAAGTAAATAAACCGTTCAAATTACCTGAAGTCTTTCTACTCAACCCATTTGCGACCAAATTTGCCTTCCTCGGATGACATTGAATATCCACATCATTATCTTTAATAAAATACATCTCCTCAGTTTCAGGTTCAACGCTTTTTTGAGTAAAGATGAACTTCAAACTCAAGCATATGCTATGACCCTTCCTTATTGTAGAAGTACACAATCCAAGTCTTTAAAAGATACATCACGAAAAATCTGAAACCCATCTATATCTAGAAGAATAGCCTACACTGGAGTTTACATTAAACAAGTCTTCAACTTATGGAAAGCTTCCTCACAATAATCTGATCATTCAAATTTTACTTCTTTCTAAGTTAATATTGATAATGACATAACAATTTGTGAAATCCCAATACAAATCTCCTATAATAACCAATAAGACCTAGAATGCTTCTGATCTCAGTGATAGTAGTAGGTTTTGGCTAATCTGTATTCACCTTGATTTTATTCTGATCACAACTTTGTTGTCTCTACTGATAATATGCCCAAGAAAATCAACACTTTTTAAGTTAAAATTAACTTTAGAAAATTTGACATATAGTGTATTCTCCTTCAAAACCTACAACACAACATGCAAATAACCTGTATGATTGGCTTCATCACTTGAATACACCGAGATATCATCTATAAAAACAACCATGAAAGTATCCAAAAACTGCCTGAAGGCTCTATAATCAGATCCATAAAAATGATGAAGCACTAGTCAATCCAAATGACATCACCACAAATTCATAAAGCGCACATCTGGGCTTGAAAGCCATCTTCTGTCTTTTTTGTTAATTCTCAAATGATGATAGCTTGACCTTAGATCAATCTTTGAAAATACAGAAGCCCCTTCTAATTGATAAAACAAGTTGTCAATCCTCGGTAGTGGATATTTGTTTTTAACTGAGAGCTTATTCAATCTTTTATAGTCTATGCACATTCAGAAGCTTCCATCCTTCTTTACGAATAACACTAGAGGTCCATAAGGGGAAGTATTAGATCTGATTAACCCCTTATCTAGAAATTTCTTACAGCTGACCTTTGAACTGCAAATTTTTAATTGCCATTTTGTAGGGTGCCTTGGATACAACCACGTATCCTGACAAGCGCTCAATAGTGAAATTAATCTCTTGCACTGATGTTAGCTCTGGTAAATCATCAAGAAAAACTTCAAGATCTATCATTGAAATTTACCTAAAGACTATACTTCCTTGGAGGTATTTGTTACATGAGCAAGAAAACCTTGATTTCTATTATTAAATAATTTGAAAGCCTTCAAACAGGTAATTATCATTAATCCTAATCCTTTATCACCATAAAATTTAACTTTTGCCTTCTCAGTTATATTTATTCTTGCAGTCTTCTTATTGCAATCAATTGTGACAGTTATTAGACATCCAATTTATGCCTAAAATCACCTCAAACTCCACCTAGGAGAACATAATAACTTGTGCGTCAAAATATTTTTCATAAATTCTTAACTTCGCTTTACATGACTAATTAATATCTAAAAAAATGCCGTTTGATGTTCTATCTCATAGTATCACATATATTAAGATGATATTCAACTGTATCACTTTAACCAGTTTCTCTGCTATAAAAGAGTATGATGCTCCCGAATCAAACAATAATCTTATTGGTCTATTTTGAAAATAGATGATACATATCAATAAAATCATTGCAGCGAATAATTAAAGTTTGCTTATCATTATAATTAAGTTTCTTACATTGTGTTGTGAATGACATGACATGAATTTGATGTGATTAAAGGTGCACTAGGTTAAAATTATTAAAAGTGAAACATACATGTGATGACGTAAGAGGAGTCCTTAGCTTCTTGCTGCGAAAGTTCTATACCCTGGGCTGGACACCACTCGGTCTGACCAGGATTGACACTGATCTTGAAGATTCGGCTATCCTTGGTCTGTTAAAAGGGAATTTTTGTTGCATTTCTTATTTTATTTCCCAAGTAGCTTCTTTTTCTAACTTGTGCTTTCATTTTATCTTAACATAAGGAATTTGCTTGTTTCTTAACTTTATAATATATGTTTTCAAAATTCATTCAGGTTCTTCTATATATGTTAAATTTTTTCTGTTCTTCTATGTCTTTATGTGAATATCTTTGATTTGCATTTGAAACCTATTTTCTTAACATTAAATTTTGAAACACATTATGATTATCTGACATTGCAACAGGTAAAGCTAGCCTGTAAGCAACTTGATCAATTCTTTCTATAATTTCAAAATGACCAATATATCTGTGGCTCTGTTTGCTTTCTTGATTAAATCTTGTTGTATCTTTTATTGGTCTGGCTTTTAGAAACACGAAATGATACCAAAGTTTAACCCAAACCAAAATTGAGAAAGTAAATATTATTACTAGCAGCGAATAGTGGTTATGATTATAAACAATTAGAACTAGGAAATAAAAAGACTCAACACGAGCTCAACTAGGGTTGAGGGCGAAGACGATAGTGTTGCAGTTTATGGACAAATAGTAACTAAAATGTATTGGATGGTCGAGTGTAGTGAGGCCTTTGGTGCAATGGAGGCAGCAGGAAGGCTGCGGTAGTGAGTGGGATGTTGCTGGAAGGGGGAGTTACAAGTTGGAGATGGCTAAAAGAGGGCGACAACGAGTTAGGTGGAGGTTGTAAGGGGGCGATAGCAAGTAGGTAGGTGGTTTTAGGGGTCGATAGCAAGTTAGAGGTGCCTGGAAGGGCTGACAGCGAGTTAGAGGAGCTGGGAGCAATAGTTGGCTACAGGAAAACAACAAAGAGATTGCTTTCTTGGTGGTGGCAGCATCCACGACAATGGTGGCAGAGGATGAGGGTTGTGCAGAATGTGGGGAGGTCAAGAATAATGACAACTTTGGATGAGATGCAGCCAGAGCATCAACTGTCAGCAAATACAACTCTAAAAGGGAAAACATGGACGCCGATGGCTGTCCTGACAGAAAACATGAAAAAATTTCTCCTAAAACAACATAAAACAAAAAATATTACATAGGATAACTTAAGGCGGCTATCCTGTGAATGGTAGGTTCAGCTGACAGGAATGGTAGGTTCAGCTGACCCCTTCAAGCTGCCAACTTGAAGCTAAAGTGTGGTCCAGAGGAAAGAAAGAGCCCCGGTCCAATAATCTTTTTGCAAGAACCCCTGTAGGTTAGTTCAGCCATCCCTCAACGATGTCAGAAATCGTACTAATTAAGACATCAATTTCAATGTATTTTTTCATTTACATGCTAAGTTCCTTAGCATTCCTCCGCTAGTGCCATAAAGATGTAACCCCATCATGCTAAGCATGCATGTACATTCATTTTATGTAGTTCATGTCATTCATACATATATTTTTTTCAATTCAATATATTTTGTATACATAATGCATAATTATTACTAAGATGTAAAATCCTTACAATAATATGGCCGATGAAAAGAAAAGCATATAAATTTGAATAAAATTTGACACTTGAATTTATGGGCAACAGTAACTATCAATGCAACTTATTAAGGAGAAACAATTATTGAGGAGAAACAAATATGTTATTACATATCAAAAGAGTACTCACATTGCTTTCAGACGATTTTTTGTTTGCTTTTAAGTTTTGAAATTTCTTTTACCATAGAATGCTCATAACCGATTATAAAGTATCATTTAGTTAAATTATCACTACAATTTATTATTCTAATTTGACCTAAATTTATGATTTAATTATTATTGGAGTATAATTTATCTTATTTTCAAATTTGACATATATGTATTTAAATGTAAAGTAACTCTCAATTAAACTTGTAATTGAATCAATTCCTCAAATCTAACGATTCGTCTGCACTTCTCCCTTAGACGCATAAATAAACCCAACCTCCTTGCTATTTTTCATATCCTAAATTAACGTACAAAAAAGTTTTTCAAACAATTCCTTCATTAATAATTCTAGGATGGAATTAGGGTTAGGTTAGTTTTGACACCAATAAAGTAATCTGAGACGGGAAAAAATAACTTGAATAAAGATGAGATGCACTAATCAAATAAAAGATAGATTACACAGGTTTTTCCTACTCTCGACATCAATCGGGATACATAAATCACGACCAAATAAAATGACGATGGAAGGAGACCTAGGATGTAACTACAAACATCTGAGGGATACAGTTGCTGCCACCCAACACCATGGATATTGACTCTTCAGTATCTAGGAACCACAAAAGGAGCACTTATCCTCACAAAACTCAAATGAGCAGAAGTCCTTTAATACAATAAACTACATATTTATAATCAATAATGGAACTAAACTTACTGCAACAACAAACAAACAAAAATACTCTTGCTACTATTAGGAGTGGGCGGCAACCCTAGCTCTAGTGAGAGGGCCAACCAACTCTCTCCCATATGGATTGAACTGTTCCGGGTCCTCCTTCCTGCCCTGCATCAAGAGGTGTATAATTAGACTTGGAAGCTATTATTTTTTTTAATTTGTCATACTTATGTTCTTCAAATTTTGGATTTATGATAATTAGTGTTATATTCTATTTTTCCCCAATAGAAATGTGTAGATTAACTATTTTTGTTACTTATTTTAGACTCTAGCAGCGACAAAAATGGCTGACCATGAACTCACGGAGAACATGCAAAAGCTGCTTATAGTCATGCAAAGGCTTGATCAGAAAATTGGACCCATGTTAGAGGCGGATGGTGAATACTTCAATAAAAGGTAATGCAAATTTATGTTCTGCAATGCAAGGCTTTTATTAATTGCCAAGGGTTGTTTCAAACCAGATCAAGAGTTCTTTGAAAACCTTGGGACTAAAATTTATTTACAAACATTAATTGTTCTAAAGTAGCGTGCAAATGCCACCGAACTGCCTACTCTGCTCCCTCTCTTTCCACAAGCCGCCCCGTCTTGCATGTTCCGCTAGCCTACATCTTGCATCTCTCTAATTCGTTTTTCACACACCCCAAACTTTTCAACCTTCAAATCTCGCTCTCCTTGTTCTTCCGCGTCGTGCAAATGCTTTTGCGGTGCTGTCTCATATGATCTTTTTGCTTTTGACCATTATGGAAGAGATTTATGGGTGCAGACTTGACTTCTTTTGCCTTGGGGGGTGTTGTTGACTTTAATACCCACTCCATATCTAGTCTTATCAAACCCAACTAAAATAATAAACAATTAAAGCAGTGCTACACATATAGGGTTCAAAATACCTCAATGTTAATTAAAATTACTCAAATTTCACAAGTTCACAAAGTGGACTTTGGGATTAATTTGATCAAATATGGTGAAAGATGACAGATAAAGGATGTGTCGTTGTGAAAATTTGGCTTAAAATACCTCGACTAAAATCAAAATCGCTCGAACATCCCCCACTTGTAAAACAGTAGTGTAGATGTGTCTTGGTCATTGAAACTATTTAGAGACGAGAAACATTGTATTAAATTGCTCTAAATTAAGTTAAAAATAAGTTAAATTATATTAAATATTTGTTTAAAATGATCATTGTCGTGTGTGTGTGTATTATATGGACACTCGCATGATATAAAGTTAATATAAATTTGATTTATAACAATGTTTCAAGTAAAAATATAGAATCTTCATGCCTTGAAAATCTGGTCCCATGCATTGTTGCTGCCACCGTGTGTTATCCTTTGTCCAGTCTATCTCTAAAAAAATTTTTCTTAAAGAAAAGGAAAAGAAAAAACCCTACCCCACCCAAACACCCTAGACCCATCTTCAACCGCACGTGTCCCTCCCAACTCACCCTCCACGCTTGCTCCTATGCAGCGCTGTCAACAGAAAGAGTTCTGTAAGGAAGCACAGAGCAACACAAACAATATGCAGAACGACAGAAATGTTACTAAACAGAAATAAACATAGTAGAAGACAACATAGCACAATTATATTAACATTCATAAGCAACGACAGATAGTGTATATACAACTCAAGTTGCTTATCTGAGAAAGATACATTTCAGATGAATGATGTTGGTTACATGTCAATGGCGAAAGTCATCCGTGCAAAGGTTTTGTTTATTGCTACCTGTGGCGGGTTGTTAGCAGACAATATTTATTGTTATGCCCCCTTACACATATTAATCGATGGAGTGAATCATAACTTAATCTAGAGGCATGAAAAACCTTAAAATAGATAGGCTCTTGGTAAGTATGTCCGCAATTTGAAATTGAGTTGCCTGGTGATGAATGACAAGTGTTTTGGAGGCTATGTGATCATAAATGAAATGGAAGTCCATCTCTATATGGTTGGTGCAGGCATGAAAAATTATATTATTTGCAATGACAATTACAAATGTATTATCGAAGTGGAGAGGAGGAGTTTGCTATGTAGATAAACCGACTTGCAGAAGGTGACAAACTGGTAAGATCTAGTCTTGGTTGCTCTGTTCATGGTACTGTAGCAAGTAGTGGAGATTTAATTTTTTCCAGTCAAATCTTCGTGCAACGGCTGATGCTAATTAAAGGTTGAGAATGATTTAAGGTATAACATACAATAATTTGTATATATAAGCATACTAATAGGTTTAAAGTATAGCAGTTTGAATTTAAATTTTCCTTATGCCTCAGTTTGGAAGCCAAAACAGAGAGCAAACGGAAGGGGTAAGCGGGAAGGGGAATGAAGAAATATGAAGAAGAGAAACAGGGGAGGAATAAGAGAAGAAGAAGACGGAAATGGAGAAGAATAAGAGGATGAGAAGATGGAGAAGATGGAGAAGAGGAGGAGAGGAAATAAAGAAAAAAAGCTTAAGACATATTAGATCTTGTATTTAAACAGTTAGATTTTAGTAATTTTTTTTGATTAATCAATTACAATTTGAAATGTTGGGCGTCAACACCATTATGAGAAGAAGTCGTCACGAGATTTTTAACAAATAAAATAAATTTGGTGGTAGTCGAGTCAAAACGTAAATCATCAATTTGATAAGATATATATTTTTTAATATAGAAAATAATTTGTTTTAGTATTTTACATGTTTGTTCCAATGTAGGTTAGATTGATGGCTGTAATGCGGTTATAATTATTCATATTGTGGAATGCATTTTTATATACCTTATGATTCATGTGTAACTAGCCATAGCCACACAAAAATTATGACGATACAAGCTCACAATTAAATGCATTATGATTATCTAAATAATTTGGTAATTGGTGACACTCTTCAATGAAAACATCTAGTGTTTATTAATTGGTTTTTCTTATGTTGAAGTGTTGAACATACTAAAAAATTGAAAACCCATTTTAATTTTTATATGTATCGATGAAAATATATTGACCTTAACAAATGTCATGTTATATTTAAAAAAAAAATAATATTAATAAAATGAAGCAGTTTGACGTCATGTTATGAGATATACTTTTATATATCACTTTTATAATGATATACTTATAATACTTGTACGGTGGGGCTAAAGAGGTCCTTAATATAGGCGAAAGTATCCCTAATATAATTTAATAGTGCTTGTGCTGAGTTTTAAACTTGATGATATTGCTTTTGAGCTGGGTTTATATCTTATGTTGTATGTGGGTCTCCAACTTTTTACTTTATGATGGCTAATAAACTTGACAATCATACATGATATAATCTAAAACTAAAGTGAAGTTGAAAATATTTGATAATAATAAAGCAAAATATGGAATTACTGCTTTTAAATTAATGCGTAAGTAATTATATCATTTGTTGACATGATATACTTAAAAAAATTGTATGTGCAATTCTATTGCCATCTCCTTGTATAAGTATTTCAATATAAAGCTTATATAACTAAAATTTTATTTTGAATATTACAACAGAATACTAGCTAATGATGCTCTATTTTAGGATTATGTTCATTCATCACTAATTGAGATTTTGATTATTGTTATTCTGTATTTCAGTTCTTTATTAGATTTGTGTATTTTGTTGAGCGTCTAATCTCACTAAATGTTATAACTATTTTTTATAAAAAAATAGAAAGAAAATATTGAGACTAAGTAAAATCTGATTAAATTTTATGATCATATTTTGTTACATTGCTTTTATAAGGTAACTTTTAAGATAACGTATCGGGTGAAGGTTATGTTTTGTATAAAAATTTTAATATATATTATGTGCTCTATTGATATATTTCAATAAATTGAAGCGACGTGTAATAGATGACTCTAGGTGCATTCAAGTGATTAAGTTTGTCACCTTTATTTTTCTGAGGAAGACATCTGAATAGGTGTTCGAGGTATATTCACTCAATTGAATCACATCTGCCCCTGATACGCCTTGCATCGATTTGGGGAGTAGTCACGGCGGGATATGACATTGGACCTTCCACCTGATTCTTATACTAATTCTTCTACCCCTTTAGTTGAAGATCCTCATCAGTTCAAGTCTATTATTTAAACTTGGAGATCAGCTTCTTTCTCGGTATAATGGCTGATGTTCTTAATGGTATTGGTCACTTCATCAGCTGTTGTTATCATTACTAAGAATATTTTGTAATTTCTTAGCCACCTCAACTTTATCCTGTCTGTGAATAAGAAGGCAATTATGATTCAAAGGAAGTTTTTAATTTTGGTTGGAGTACTAAAAGTATCAACTCTTTGGCGGATCAGAATTCCTTGTTTTTTACACCATTGGGAATCTGAAGAGAATTCATCGCCAATCCAGATTTTTTATTAGTCTTCAACTTAAAAAATCCAAATGAAGACTTGGTATATTTTTTGTGCTATTTTTTGTTTATATGATGTTATGAAATTTCTTTGTTAATGCCCTAATCTACTCATACTATGATCTAATTAATAATTTTTCTTTAAAATAAAGAAACATTAATATGATTCAGTAACTTATTTTTTCCTTAAATGAAAAAAATTATATAAAATCGGGGGTTGTGCTTTCCTGGTTTTCTTTCGTAGGTTGTGAATGTTAATAACTAGTGCTGACTTTATCATCTTTACTCCAAGGTGGGGATATATATCACGTGCTGGTTTGTGGGATAAAAGTCACCTTACAAGACAAATTGAGAAGTATGCCATAAAACTTTATCCAGTGTTTTACTTGTGACTGCGACTTTGCTCATTTTCTCATCTGTTGTTCTTGCAGGTATGCTGACATATACACATCTAGGGTCTCTAACTTTCTTCATTATACTCCCTTCATGTATTTTTGTTCACAGGAGCAGGTGAGAAGGATAACTATTCACTTCTGTATTGCTGTTAGCTTTTTCTTTCTTTTCTGCCATCGATCATACGCTGATCATATCTCTTTTCTTATAAGGCAGTTTCTTGTGTTACACATGAGATTTGGCTATGGGAGAAAGCATCAGCTAACTACTTTCATTTACAATAATATCATCTAAATCTTCAATGGAGCAAAAAACTATCAACATACATTCTCGATAAACTTGATTTTGCCAAGGGATTTCCTTGGACGTTATTCTGTTTTTGTTTATACTTGTGTACAGAAATATATTTTCATGAATCTCAATGAAATACAATGGACTGGAAGGCAAAAGGACAATCCAATGGGTCTCATTGAGAAAAACCAAACACTATATTGGGACAGTCAAAAGACGAAAAAATCAAGTATCATTTACTTCGGTCATAACCTTGAATTGATCGAACGGAAGGACATCCAAATGAAAGATAAGAGCTCAATCAGGGAGGGAGTCGTTCACAACCAACTCTCCCAGCTGATAACCCATCACGAAATGTCTATCTGACCATCTAAGAAAGCTCATTGTCTAAGGAGGACTGCTCATCGGATTATGGTAGCACTTTCTTTGCCTGATGACTTAGCTTATCCTGACGACAGGAGCGCCTCTTCTTGGATTTTTCCTTTGAAAACCCGACAGCCAGATCTAGGCCAACTTATGGCCTTTCAGTCTACCGAATGTCTTCTTGCTGACTAGAGACCCTCATCTGACCAAGTCATAAGGCCATCAAGTCATCGAGTGCTCCTATTAAAGCGGTTTTGAATACGAAAATGTGCCAAAGTAATTTTTAACACCCCTATTAAAGCAGGGGCAAACATGTAATTGCACACTTGTTACTTTTTGAAATCTATAGAGGGTCATTTCTATAATAAAAGATTGCTGATTCACCACTCATAAACTCTTGCATTTATTGTGAACTCTCTTTTCTTCTCCCTCTCTTTCTTTCTTTCGTCCTATGCTCTATTCCTTGGTTGTGATTCACATTACATCTTCTGATTCGACATCTTAAAATGTGTGGTGAGCGTGGATCATACCAGCAACAAGAAGAGCAGCACTTCATGGGGAAGAAACCTATCCGAGAGATATTGTAAATATGGTGTGCACAAGGAAGTTTGTGCAACAACATATTCAAGAACTTAGAGATCAGATGTTGGGTTAGATGATAGAGTTGACCCATGCGTTACTCGAAGTAAGAGAGCTGTTTCACCAGGAACAGAACCCCCAGGAAGAAGAACTTGAGCCCCAAGGCCGTCAAGTGGTTTAGGGGGCAAAAATGCTTGAAGACTCTCAGTACTAGGATAGTGTGGGTCTACACCATTGAACAAACAATTGTTTGTGCGTCCTGAGGACCACCGCTAGCCAGATAATGTGTTCTCATGGTAGATCTCTGATGCTGAGCCACCAGAAAAGTTCAAACTTCATTGAAATCTTACAAGGGTTGGAGTGCTTTGTTAGACCACATCGTTTCCTTTGAGTCGGCTATTTGCCTTCTAAAAATTTCTGATGGACTGAAGTATTGGCTATTTTACACTACGCTGAGGGACTCAACCCTTAGGTGGTTTAATGGCCTCCCAGTAGGAGTAATCACCTCCTTCTCTGAATTAAGGAAGTTGTTAATGACACAGTTACACCACCACATAGAAACACCTAAAAAACTCATGGGCCTTGTGGCAAGTCAGGCAGGAGCCAAATGAGAACCTTCATTTGTACAACACTCGATTCCAAAAAGAGATGCTAGAATTTTGGGATCTGGAACCCATGGTAGTATAAACCACCTTGGCCCAAGTGCTAAGGAGCGAGTGATATGCACCAGGTTTACAACGGCTTGCAGAAGAATTCCTCGCAAAAATGGATGGCCCACGCTAAGTCGTTTGCCCCATACATGAAGACAACTGACCGCCTCATGACCGCAGAGGGGCTGACAGGAACCACCATAGATAAGGATAGAGCTGGGTGAATGACCAAAATCCTTGCCGCTACCGCGACCAATCTTCAGACGATTGCGAGAAAAGCCACTATATTGAGGGTTTCAATGACGAAGCTGGTAGAGGCCATACTGAACAAGTACTTCAAAAAGACTCCTCCAATGAGAGCTGGAGCATTTTTTTCGAGACACAAATAAGTTATGTAAGCACCACATAGACCATGAACATAATACAGAGGAGTTTAGCACCTTTGTAGCTTGGTCGAGGAATTGATTCAAGTCGGTAAACTCAAAGAGTTTGTGGCACGAGGGGCATTTTCCTAATGGCAAGGGAAAGCCCCAGTAGATGAAATTTTTGATTAGCCCATCCAGGTCAACACTATTAAGATTGCTGCATAGTGTCGGCCATCTTGGGAGGAGACTCGACTTGGCTAGCCAATCGTAAGAGGCTCTGAACAGAGGAACTGTGCGCCACTACTTTTGCTCCCAAGTGGAAGCCTTATCCTCTGATCATCTTTAGTGACGCAGACTTGGCCCCAAAGGAGAACCCCAATAATGATGTCTTTTTGGTCACGACAATGATAAACAACTACTAAATTAGTAGATTCTTGTTGACACCGATAGTCCAGGGAACATCCTGATCAAGTTAACTTTTGACAAGATGCATCTCTCGGCTGACCGACTTGTAACGCTAATCTGCCCCCTCTATCTTTTCTCTCGCACTTAGATTAATCAGGTTATCAATCATATGGGGGGCCGGGGAAGGTGACAACCAATTTACAAACATGGAAGTTTTCTTGGTGGTTGATGTGCCTCCCATCTTCGACCGCCTACTACTTAACGATGTTAGAACTGTGGTCTCCACATATCATGTTGCGGTGAAGTTTCCGGTTGAACTTAGAAGTCATCACCGTTTGAGAGAACTTAGAGCAATCCTGGATCTGCTACCTCCGGACAATTGGCAATGTGGAATAGGAGTCGTTTGATATCCAGAACAAGGAAGAAGGGGGTTTGATGACTAATGAGACCACTCTAGAAATTCCTATTATTAACAAAGTGCCCGATAAAGTTTTCCTAATTAGTGAAAATTTTGATGCAGGACATAGATTTACTGATCTAGACTTTCCGGGAGCATCAAAATGTTTTTGCTTGGCAAACCGTTGAAAAGTCGAGCATCCTGATGGACATCGCTTGCCACATCCTGAATATCAATCCGGCTGCTCGACCAAAATAGCAGAAGACAAGGACCTCCTCAGCCATGACGTGGTCGGATCGATCCGCGATGAGGTGCAGAAGTTGAAGGTCAGCTACATTCGGGAGTTATAGTTCCCAACTTGGGTCTCGAACGGGGTCATGGTCTCAAAGGCAAACGATAAATGGAGAATGTGTGTGGACTTCACCAACCTGAACTCTGTCTGCCCGAAGGACTACTCCCTTCCAATGATCGAGCGGTCAACCACTTTCGGTTACCATCAGATAAAGAAGCATCTAACCAACATATAGAAAATGGTGTTTATTACTAGTCAGGGTTTATATTACTATAATGTAATTCCCTTTGAGCTTAAAAATGCTGCAGCCACTTATCAACGCTTTATGAATGTAATATTTGCTAATAAAAAAAGGAAATATATTGAGGTGTATGTGGATGACATGCTCGGTTAAGAGTCAATCTACTGAACAACAATCTAATTACCTAAAAGAAACCTTCTAAATACTAAGGAAATTTAAAATGAGCCTAAATCCGCTAAAATTCATATCCAGAGCATCGACTAGCAAATTCCTTGAATACCTCATAACTCTCGAAGGTATAAAGGCCAATCCAGAGAAAGTAAAAGTATTGTTGAACATGTTTTCTACTCGGAATGCTAAGAGAGTGCAGACTTTGATCGGCTAGATAGCAAGGCTCAGTTGGTTCATTTTGAAATTAGGCGAAAAGTGTGTGGCATTCTTCAAAATGCTAAGGAAGACCAAATGTTTTGAATGGTAGACCGAATGCTAGCGAGTGTTCTCGAGCCTAAAGAAATCAATAATCTCACTACCAATGCTCCAAAAGCCCAAAACTGAGGAAAAAACTCTTCCTGTATTTTGGAGTTGGGCCCTTAGGATGCTTAATCTTGGTTCGTGAGGAGCTGGGAAAGCAATACCTCCTTAGAGGCATCGAAGTCAGGTATTCCATGATGGAAAAACCAACGTTTGTTTTAATTGTCTCTGCTTGTAGGTTCCGGTTCCTGACGCATCCAATCAGGGTCATCATTGATCACTCCTCAAATCTCCACTCACTCAACCAAAGCATTCGAATTGCTTCCTTATGTGGGTTGTCAACCTTAGTGAATATCATCACTTATGTTCCCCTGACAAAAATTACAACTCAATCTATTGCAGACTTTCTAGTGAATTTCTTCGAACAAGGTAAATCAAGTGAAAGAATTGACATTGGCAACTAGACCTGGATCTTGCACATGGATGAAACTTTGATTTGGGTGGTAGTAGAAGCCAGATTGACGCTGAGCTATCTAATTGGAAAGCATCTTTACCATCCATCCATCCTCGATTTTGAAGTCACCAAAAACTTGGCGGAGTACGAAGCATTGATCGTTGACCTATGCCTAGTCTACAGAATGGGTGCCCGACATCTCATGGGGAAATCAGATTTCTAACTAGTCGTGAATCAAGTCAATAGAGAGTTTGAGGCCAGAGATGAGATGATGACCAAATACTTAAACAAGGTGAAGGCGGAGATATGGAAGTTTGCGAACTTCAGAATCGAGCACGTCAATTGGGAGGAAAATCAATTAATAGACCTTCTATCCAAGAGCATTTACGTAGGGGAAGGGGCACCCTATAAGCTTATTCGTTTGGCCATTGAGGAACCTAAAGCCATGGAGGCAAAAGCTGAAAGTACAAAGAGTCAGAGGGATCCCTGCATCCAATATCTAGAAACTGAAAAAATTCTCAAGGAAGTCACTTACCCAAGAATATTGAAGTTCAAAGCTGCACAATATCTCACGATCGTAGGGAGACCCTTCCGAAAGTCGGCTCTCAC